AGATGCGGTGCAATGTTAGCAAGCTGCTGGGGTCAGCCCCAGCGGGGCTCAGAGCCAGAGCTGCAAGAGCAGCTGAAGGAAGCAAGCCAGACAAACAGATTGGTGGACTTGAATAGGCTTTGCTGCCCAGCAAAATTTAAAATCACTAACTGTGTGTAAGAAAATTCAGTGCAAGAGTCAGAAAGCAACCAGCTAATCCACAACTTTCCTCCCTGTGATGAGAGCCTGAACTGTTACAGCAATATTTTAGGGATTTGTTACTACTGCCCTTCTCCTCTACCCAGTCAGAGTTTTATTCTCTTGCTGTAATAAAAATGCAGTTTGTTAGCAGTGTAAGCCACAGTTACAAGATGGGGGAATAAATGTATCTTTGAGCATCAGAAGGTTTAATACGCTTGAATTTAAGCTGGTCAGTGAAAAAAACACCAGTTCAAGAACCCCATCTAGTACTGAATTGAAATTTTAGTAGGTGATTTAATGACAGAAAAAGCTGAGGCAGGGGAAGTTTAGGCTTGACATCAGGAGGAAGTTCTTCACAGAGAGAGTGGTTGCACACTGGAACAGGCTCCCCAGGGAAGTGGTCACTGCACCGAGCCTGACTGAATTTAAGAAGAGATTGGACTGTGCACTTAGTCACATGGTCTGAACTTGGGTAGACCTGTGCGGTGTCAAGAGTTGGACTTGATGATCCTTAAGGGTCCCTTCCAACTCAGGATATTCTATGATTCTATGATTCTATGATTTTATTTTTAATTCTTTTAACTTCTTATTAAAACTGGAGTTGGTTTCTTTGCACGAGGCAGGGGACAGGCACACATATAACTCCTCCCAGAGCAGTTCCATGAACATGTCATAGTCTCAGACTTCATGGTATTATTTCTCTTTCTTCTTGTCCCAGAATTTGTATTGAAGATTGAATTGCATTTTCAATAGCATCCTTGTAAATGTCCTTGGTACAACAAAAATTGGGAAATTTACAGACACAGACTACTTTTATTCTATATTTCTGTAAAATAGTTATAGGAACTTGTTTCTATGCTATCACATGTTCAGAGATACCTGATTAGTGTTTTATTTTTGAAATTGCTCGTTATGAGGAGGGAGCAGGAGGGATAAGCAGTCTCAAGTCTGCAGATGTAACACAGGAAAGAAACGATGAGATATTGCTGGAACAGTATGTCTGGAAGTAAGGAGAGGCATCCCGGGGTGTTTTTTTGGACTGCATAATGCAACATACAGTGAATAAAGCTGCTTGGCTACTTTCTTCTGGGGGAACAAGGTGTTCTGATGAAAAATGCTAATTAATCTAAATTCAGAATTTCAACAGGAAGCTGTTTTGGTGAAATTTTTCTTAAGGACAATTATTTGGAGATATTTTTGAAACAGAGCATTGTCTGTTTCAGAGAAATGTTTGGTATGTTTAGTTTTTTTTTTTTTTTTTTTTTTTTCCCTGTATAAAACCCTTCTACTTATATCAAAAAGATACTCGAATGAATCAAAAAAACAAAATGCTGATTTTTTCTCCTCCATCCAGATTATAATCAGAACAATTTCCAAGTCCCAGTTACCCTCCAGATCCTATGCTCTCTGTGTATGCTGGTTGTCATGCTTTACTTGATTGACACCATCATTGAATAATATATCAGCCAAAAGTGCAAAAGTTTTTTTATTATCATTCTAAGTGCTGAACAATACTTCAAAGTTGATGGATGTAATTGTTCCATTCCTTCAAATAATAGGGTAATAAAGACTCCTTTCGTACAAAGTTAACAAGGAGCTTTTGAACAATGTTTAAATACAGAAAAAAAGCAAAGTGCAGACTTCAGAGAACACCCTGTGTGTTTAACAAGGAGCTGAAAAAGAAAACTGAAAGCCTTGTGTCTATTGTGGACTCTTGGAAGGAGGTGTTTTGTTGAGTGGAGAAAAAGGCAGTTTCAGAATTTTAGCAAGACATAGTTCTGCATGTTTTGGTTTTACTTTGCTCAAGGGCCAGCACTCTGCATGTGTACAATTAGACAACTCAGTCAAGGAGATCAGAAACCCTAGCTGCAGGCATTAAACAATTCCTCATTTGACGTGTTAATCGAAAAGGTGAAGGCTACTGTTTTTTTTTTCCCCAAAAATAATTAGATTGGAAGTACATGATACGACATTTGTGTGATGCACAAGAATATGCATAGATGTTTGAACACGTATTTCTTTGGATATAACCTTTCAAATGTAAAATAATACTGAATGCACGGGGAAACAATCTTTATTATCAGTGTACAGCAAGCTTGTAAGAAAAATATTCTTCAATACAGTAAGTTCCTCTTCACTTACGGTAAGAAAAGGAATCAATTATTCTTAACAATGTGAGTATTCCATAAAGATAAACCATTATAATGGAATTATAGAACACAAGCAGTCTTTAAGGACAGCATATCAAAAGAGATATTTCCATAACTTATCTATTCTGTTCTTTCTTTGCGCAAACAGTCATGCAAGTTCAATGTGAATTCTATCTTCGATTTATGTATGGTTATTTAGTGCAACATTTTGTGTTTTATTTGTGCCCTCCTTGGGATAAATCACCGTGGAATGCCTCAACGGGGAGATTATGATTAAAAAACAAACAAACAAACAAAAACAACTATTTTTTCTCTTGATTTCCCAAAGCTGCAGAGAGCCAGCATTCTTTCTCTTAACCTAGACCATTCAGTGGATGAACTAGTACTCTGCAGTTTGGATGCTAAGAGTCGTCAGTGGGTCTGGACCTCGTAACTGAAGTAAAGGAGATAACATGCTGTAGTGAAGAATGGATCACGTAAAAATCCTAGAGAGCTGTAGTCCGGGCACAGATTTTAAAAATGGATCACTGATGACAGACGATTAAAAGAAAGGAAGTTGCAGTTCCAGAGTTCACTTCACTGTCAGAAAATACAAAATATTTCTTTAGGCCAAGTGGTAGAGGATAAAGGTCGCATGCTTTTAGCAGGGAGTTTCTCAACTATGAACCCCATTTGTAATTCCCAACTGTGAAAGGGGAATTAATTTCATGGATCCATAACTTCGATTATTTTGAGGTCAGAGCTGAGCATCTCTGAACATTGACCCAGAAAATACAAAGTATATTTTCTGTGGATATAAATGAAGACATTCAAAATTGTATATATCGAGTGCTGTCTAGAAAGTATAAGAAAATAGTAATTTATTAAGCATATTTGCCCAAGCTATAGTGGATAATGTATCACAGAAATAATCGAATTGTAGAATACTTGAGGTAAGGAGGAGTCATCTGGTTCAGTTTCCTGCTCAGAGCAGGGCCTACCTCAAGGACAAGGTATAATAAATGAATGATAATTTGAACTTTTTTTAAAATTCTTTCTGGAAATTAAGAAACTCTGACAGACAAACCTGCAGGTATTTAAGTCCTGAGAATTAGCCTGAGTGGTAGAATTAAATGGGGAATGATGTATGGTTGGGGAGTTCAGTGGCACTGTTTTTTTGAGGGCAGGAATATGTTGTGCTACCTACTGCTGGTGAAGGTAAAGTAAAAAGAGTGCAGTATGTTAATAGTTGCAGTGCAGAAGATGGATGGCGCTGAGGGATGGAACAAAAACATGAGCTATTCCTCGTCTAAAGGAAGAGAGCTGTAGGAGGTATATGTGAAAATGCAAGTCGGTTTGGAGCTTTCTGTACAGTCTAAGAAATGAATATGTATCTGTGCCTGTTCGTCATTTTGGTGTGCCTACTGGAGTTGAAATTGAAGCAGCTGTTTTAATAGGAAAATGGCAAAGTTTTGTTTTGTTTTTTTTCCTAAGTATTTTTTTTCTCTAGACTAGAGATGAGTATTCATGGTATAGCAAATTTAGACTTTTTAACAGGCAGTGTTTTTCTGTCATTCTTGAAATGAAAGATGAGGAGAGATGGGTTATAATGAAGTTAAAAGACTTTTATTGACATGTTTGTAGGAAACTATTAATTTATTTGTAAGCCTGGCATAGTGGTACTTCTGTTCTGAATTAAGCTGCACAGGTGAAAGCTCTGCTTTGGTTTTTGGGCCTTTCCCTCAACCCTCAGTAAATAATCTAACACTCTTGCATGAATAGTGTCTAGTTCAACCCTTTCTAGGTAAAAATCAGTCTGATTTTTATAAATACTCCACCTTAGTGTTTGAGCCTATATTCTCACTGCTGAGAACAGCATTTCTGTGATTGCCATAACATGAATTTACCATGGGGACGAGTGTTCTTTCCAAAATAAGCATAAATACTGAAGAAATAATTGAACGATTGCTTCACTTCCTCATTTGAATTACCAGAAAGCAAACAATTAAAAAAAAACAAAACAAAAAAAACAGTATTGTGCTCTAGAAATGTAGCTTATCAATGGATTCTTTGTTAACGGGTTTCAGTCTCCTGGTGTTGCCTACAGGTGTGTTTGTGCAGGTGAGAGAGGAGGGATGGTGGGTGTTAAATTGTTGTATCTATGACTAGTTACAATTTGTTGTTCTCAGGGTGTGTTTAGCCATGAAGTCATATAGAGCTCTTTAATCTTCCTGAATGATGAACTCAACTTTTTTGGACAGGGATATGCTCAAAAAGTTACCCTAGTGTAACTAGGTGGGTTTTATTATTTGTTACACAATATTTTTTTTCGTACAAGAGTAGCAGGTTGCATGAGAAGCCATGGCAGTACATTGGCTTTTCAGTCTAAATGCTGTTATAAACCCACCACCACCAACAAAGGAAAAAAAAAAACAAAAAACAAACAACAACACACAATTAGGTGCTAACATTGTTTTCTTGCAGGCCTTCTGTCAGCTTTTGCCTGCATGTAAGTCACATGAATGTTGTAATGGCTTAGTTGTTGAGCATTCTTCCACTGTGTATTCCCTTTCCAACCTGAAGGAGAAATAGCAGAAGAGAAACTCTGTGCATTCATAATCACAAAAGTACAACTTTTTCTTATTTATAAGTTGCTATAAGTTTTTTGCATCTTCTAATTTTGTTTTCCAGAATGACAAATCTCCAGGGCGTTCCACAAGTCGATCGAGTAATATTTCAAAGGTATGTAAAATCTATTTCCTTTATGAGGAATTTAACGAAAACTAAATTTATCAAATACAATATAGTGCTTCATTTAATTACATATGCATTTCTGATGTTTTCTTTACAAACATCCCATTTTGAGTTTTTGCTGCCTATCATTATGGCTACCAAATAAAATTCGTTTTAAAGTATAGGTATACAATTAGTCATGACTTTAATATGTGTAGTAATAATAATAAGTAAGTAACGTGGATTTCTTACACTTGCTTTCCGCAACTGCTAACATTAATTAACATTAATATAATGCTACATTAATGCTTTAGCTTAAGGTAGAATTGCTGCATAATTTTTTGCCCCCTGCCCCACCCAAATAATAGTTGCTGTAATGTGTGAACACTGAATTCTTTTTACAGGAATTTATGATTCACTGAAGCCAGGGTTGTATATCTAGATGGTTTTTAGTTTCTAGGAAACAGAGAAGGGAAGCTGTAGGGAGAGGCAGAATGAGACTGCGGTCCTTTGGACTGCAGTCCTTTGTTTTTAACACTCTTTCTGTAAATTTTTGGTTCAGATGTGGCTGAAATCTCTGCCAAAAAGCCAGAATTTACAGGAAGTTAAAGCTAAAAATTCAGTATTATGGAATCCCAGTCCAAAACAACAGCCATGCTTTATGTTTGTATATAAAGATGTTTTGGTTTTGTTTTGTTTTGTTTTGTTTATTTATTTTTTTGCATCCAGAGTACGAACAGCATCCATTGTGCTATTGTCTCTGGAGGTATATCCTTCCCCACTGTATTCTTGTCTCTGGGGTACACATTGTAAAAATGTTTTTTTCTGAGAGCTCTTTAAACAAAAACAAACAAACAAACAAAACAAAAAGTGATTTCTCAGTTAAAGAAACCATCTATATGCTGTATATACACTATATTTTTATATTAAGAAGAACAACAAAAAAAAAAAAAGGCAGGGAAAAACACAGACATTATATCTAGTCTGTTCTAGGATGTAGCAGAATCTCTTCTTGACTTGTTGGCTATTTTTAAAAAACACCTAATTATATACTTACAAGCTTGATCTCAGTCAATTATACATATATTATTTTCAGTAACATTTTAAAAGCATGTCTATATTTACAATCATTGTAAAATTATGTGGATTTAATATTGCTTTTTCTACTTTTTTATGTAATATGCATTACAAAATGGCAAATCATAAATATATTCAGTGGTATGAGACATTCAGTGACATTTAGTTTAAAATAGTTTCTCCAGAAATCAATATAGATGCTTATTAGAAAGGGTGCTTGCACCTTTTTAAGTATTATATTTATAAGCAGGATTTTCAGAAACACTTTTTTCTGTTTATGTGAAACTACCTGCTAGTGAAACTTTGCTAATGCTAAAAGATGTTTGCCTGGAATTCTAGTTTGCAGTCTATTGTTTGATTCAAAATGCCTTTTTTCATACAATAGGAGAATATGTATGTAAAAGAAAACAGAAAAACAAATACCAGACTTTTCAGGTTACTATCACATGGCACAAAGTAATAGTAACATATACTGCACCCCAAAACAAAACTGGAGGCTTCTGGATGACATAAACAAAATATCAAAGGCAAGAGCTGCGTTCTGTGCAGTGTCAGATCCTATACACAATAAACATCTCAATTTACATAAAAATCAGCCTTCATTCAGAAATATAATTTAATCAAAATACATTGTTTTGATTTTGAGGCTTTTACTATTTGCATTTGCCTGTTTGTGTAAACTAAAAAGGGTTAAATTGAGAGTTGCATTTCAATAGTTTTGTGTTTTTGTGTATGCTAAGGTTGGTTGCGTATGGAAATCTTGGTCTGGAGTAGATTAGCCATTGCCTGGTATCACTGGATTTTGCACTACCCTATTTGTGAAATGGCACACAGCAAAGATTCTGCAAACACAGATTCATATTTCATAACAATTTTAAGCTGTTTATTCATTCAACTTGTGTTTTAGCCTTAAAGAGGACACTTGAGGTTTGCAGAACACGCTCAGGCAATTTTACATACTAGGTACATTAACTCGGAATTGCATGGTAATACAGATTAAACTGAATTGTTGAACACTTGATATGTCTTATCTGGACATAATGAAAAGGAATAGCTCTGATTTGCCATTTACCAGCTACGAGTTATTATGTACCTATTTAATCCATAGATTTTAAAATCCACCATTCCCTAGAGGGGGGGGAAGAAATCCATACTTGAGTCTTACAGTTCACTTCTGCTGTCCACTGGGAGTGCCAAAATGTAGGATGTTGGGAAGACTGTTTTTATCTTGCATGTACATTTCTGATAAGAATTTCAGTAATAATCTGGCCAAATGTGAAGACAAAACCTAATGTGTTTAGGTGTGATTTGAACACAGTTGTTTGGAAAGTCCACTGTGATACATGTTACTAAGTAAGTAAAATAATAGCTGGATAATATGTTTCTGTACATGTACTAACATAAAATTAGGCCATTCGTTTACAGATTATTTTCTTATAACTATGAAATTGCATAGCTCCACCGGTGAGAGATTTTTTTAACATGAGAAATGGAGTGTTTTATCAATACGGTGGGAGAAGAGCAAAATCCTACACTTTGATTTTGTTTACCTGGCTTAGTACCGAACCACGCACCATGTTTAAGAGCAAGAGCAGGTGAACACTGAGCGTGGCAGGGCTGCAGCTCACACTGTCCCTTGTCCCCATACATCACGGTGCTTCACCCCTCCTGCACTCGGCACTCCTGCGCCTTGCCAGCAGCATTTTGCTCGGCAGGCAGGAGGGAGAGAGAGCATTTCTCTGAACTAATTCACTCAGCCATCTCTGTGTGTGTTCCAGCTCATTACTGTGACCTTAAGTATCCCACCTGTGTGGTAACCACCGAGTTAATTGCAGGGTTTTAAAGTAGTCTCACATCATTTTGTACTCTCCATCTCCCTTACTCTGCCTCTGTCCTCGTGCTGCTGACTGACAGGCAGCTATAGCTCTCTTCAGTGGGTATCCATCTGGGACGTTCACTCATTACCTTCAGCCTATGAGTCATTAAAACTACCCTGGGGTTCCAAGAGCAACTACTTCGGTTGGTTTTCCAAGCAGAGGTGATTAGGAAAATGTATTGGTGTCCAATTTGTGCCACACTTATGGTAATAATGTAGATTTTTTCCCACAGAATCAATGAATGGATAAACAGGTGTTGCCTTCTGCCCTGCTAGCACTGCGAGCGATGGGTCCTCTCTGGGACTAACCTGCAGTGCCTATTACTTCAGAGTGACAAAGTGGAGTGATTTCTGAGTATGGGTTTCAAAGCCTGTATTAATAAAAACATAGAAATACTGGAAATGTGAGTCAAGAACCAGCCTCACTATTGTGTTCCTTTTGTCTTTGTAACCCTTAGCCTTTCTCTCCCACCCATCTCCCAGACGTAGTCTTAAGCACTGTTCTGGATTTCAGAATTAGAATTATTTTCTCCAGGTGTATTTAAACTCTAAGTAAATGAAAAAAAAATGACTTTGTTCATTAGATATTTGCCATCAGTTAGTTCTTGGCACTGTAGCTTTTCTTGGTAAATCGTTTATGTCTTCCTAAATATGTGAATAATTTAAGAGGAAATTTAATCTGAGAAGAATCTGGTGGATTCATTTCTTTCTGTTGTGGTTAACCAGTGGAAAAAGTCTTGTGTTTGAATTACAGCCCATAGAGGTTATGCTTGTATGTGTTTGTGAGGCTTCCTGGTTGTGTTAAAATGCTTTCTGGAAGAAATGTTGCTAGCACATTGTAATTATCTTTCTGCATGTTAAGTATGAATCAAGAGCTCCTTAGAGGAGGATGCTTTCTCTGCAGTAAGATTTCAAATTCTCTGATGGGAACTTTGGGCTTATTTTTCAGTGAACCTCAGACTTGGAGCAAATTGCCTGATTTTTGTTTTGGCTCAATTGCTTCTTAAAAGCCTGGAGCAGGTGTTAGAATACTTTTTATTTACAAGTCTCTGAAGCATCTTTCTAATAAAACGCGGTTGATTTACATCAGGAAGAAGTGAGGTGATCATTTCAGAATATTCATTGTGATGATATTCATTGGTCTATTTTAGAAGATGAAAACCAGCAGAGAAGGTAAAGGATGTAAAAACTGGTTCCACTCTGTGTTTATCTTTTTTATCTCCACCCTAGGCGATTTCTGTACTGATTGCCTATGTCACGTCTGGCTCCTCTCAGTAAATGCAAATGAAAACCAAAAGACACCAGTATGTCAAAGCAGTGCTCGCTAAAGTTTTAGATGAAATTGTTGCCAATTTATTGATTGTTTTGAAGTAGTCAGTTTGTGAGAGAGGATTGCAGCATCTCTGGAATAGCTGTTGTGTGATTGAATCCTAAAGAGTAATTGTGTGACCCCTAGCATTTTGCTACAGGGGACTGTACTGCTAAAAGTGGATCCATCTGTGCTATTCTTCCTATTTGGTCCCAATCTCACACCTGTCATAAATGACAGTTCTCTTCAGATTGCCATGGTGGTTTTTTTTAGTCTTTTCAATGTGTAGCTCCTAGTTTTCTGTAATGAACTTTGTTTTAAAATAACTTTAAGAAGTCAATATAAAAATAAACGTAATGATGTATCTCATCAGAACTGAGAGAAATCTTAGAGTTTCAAAAAATAAACCCTGAAAAAACAAGTCCCTGCTCTTGTAAAGTGTAAAATGTCAGCCTTCAAAAGCACTGTTACAATGAATAATACCATGTATACAAAACTGGCATTAAAATTTGAGTGTTAATGGTATCTTAGTCATCCAAATGATTCTTCTTGCTCATAAACAGAATCATTAATATCAAAGGTGAAGACTAGCTTAGCTCTTAACTCTCATTATGATTCTGTTACTGTAAAAAACACCATCACAAAGTAAACAAGTTAGTGAAAAGTATTTTGTTCATCAAAACATAGAGCAGAGAAAAACAAAAACTAGAACTAGATGCAATGGCATAAAAATTATTGCTGCTTTTT